AAAAAAAAAAAAAAAAAAAAAGAAGAAAAAAACCGGAAAATTTGGGGATTTCTCTTCGTGGGGATTTCTCTTCGCTGGAAAACCAGAAAACGAATGCTCCCTCCAGACAGAAAAAAGGAAAAGAAGGGGTTTAGCAGTTGAAGAAGAAGAAGAAGAAGAAGAAGAAGAAGTTCAAGGAGAACAAAGAGGACAGCCCCCACAGCACGCCATGAATTACAGAGCTACTCCTGAAATCATTACGTCTGAATTTGGAACTTGCGACCCTTTTTTTGTAGTTCACCAATATTTTGGAAGATTGCACCTTTTCCTTAACAACCGCTCCAAAAGCTTCTCTTAACATGGAGGAACACGGATGCAATTTCCTTTACATAATTTTAACACATAATACATATAAATGTAACATATAATTTCATAAAATTCAAACTTTATAATTTAATTTTTTAATATTTAAATTTTAATTAATAAAATAATAGATGGAAGCAAATAAGGAGAGGTGTGGCTCTCCCAGACTGCATGCCGAAAGGGTGGGAGAAAAGATAAAAGGAAATGGCTGTAAATACTTTTTTTAAAATACATTAAATACTTTTTTTAAAATATATTAAATACTTTATTCCCTTTATTTGTCATCTTTTTTTAATTTTTATTTCTCCATTATTATTATTTGGAAGGACTAAAAAATTATATAGTTTAAATATCATAATTAGACTCTCAAAATTAATTAATTTATTTTTTAAGTTTATTTTTAGTTATAATCATTTATATCAATTACATAGAATTCTCTATTCTATTTAATACTAACTATAACAACATTCTTAAATCTCTTTTAAAACATTAATATTAATACTATTAATATAAATAGGAGGGACCAAACAAGTAATTAAAATTAAGAGAAGGGGCTTATATTAATTAGGGACGACCGGCTGGTGCAAGTCAACGTCGATTGACCGTACGTTCATAAGCTGAGGGCGGACATGCATGGCGGTCATTCCACTTACCTCCACAGCTGTAGCAAAATTCCGATCCGCACCTACAAATTTCATATCAAATTACTAAATTAATTTATCTGTTTGTAAGAACAGGAAGAACGAGGAGGAGGAGGCGGCGGAGGACGGTAACCTGCAGGTAATATGGAGGCAACCTAAGATCTTCTCGACTAAAATCTTGCAATGAGGGCATCGCTTCCATTTCCGTTCATCCGCCAGCTTCATCGTCATCTCCTCCTCTCTGTCTACTCCTCCGTTCTTAAGCAATCTCTGAAACTCCGTGCAGTTCATGTCCGCATGCCATCCCACTCCACACTTCGCGCAGAACATTCTCCAACATTTAGGGCATTCAACCGCCTCCCTATCTTCCTCGTCCACCATCCCCGCCGAGCAGTCTTTGAACGGACAGTAAACCATCTTCCACTTCAGAAGCATTGCCTTCAACAGAGCATCTCCCCATCTCTCCAACACCTCTTTCGGAACGAACGAATCGCACATTTCCGGTTTCAACACCGCCGCGCATTTTGGCTCTGGACATTTCACCGCCAAGGAATCCACCAGCTTTGCGGCTATGTGTTTTGAGATACAATCGGCGCAGAATGTATGGGAACAGCCGGTGGATGTGAACATTTCGGAGGCGGATTTGGTGTCGGTGCAGATTGTACATAGGGTTTTAGAACCAGAAGATTCGGGGTTGGGCGATGGTTTATTGGACATTATTGTTGAAGTGAATGAGGAAGCGATTGATTCCTGGAGCTGTAACTCTTCGGCGAAGATTTCGTCGGAGATTGGGAAGACGGATTGGTGTTCGTGAAGGGCAGAGTAGTATATATCGTCGACGGAGAGGGAAGAGCCGTGGTTTGATGATGACTCGGCTGCCATTAGAGGTGCCTTTTGGAGTGGGAAGTGAAATTGAAAGCGATTTAAAGGGAGAATTCAACAAAATATACAGACGATTTCCAATGCAGATTAAACAGAGCCCGAGGAAGGTGACTGTTCGATTCTTCCCCTTCGTTTTCAACCAATACTCGATAAGAACATATATTCACAATAAAAAAAAAAAAAAAAAAAAATACTCGATCAATGTGTTCGAATTATATTTGTGAATTGAATCATCGTTCTAAACCACAAAATTATCGGATTGCCTGATCAACGTGATTGAATGATTCGTATTTTCCTCTGTTTTCCTCTGTTTCGGAATGCATAGGAAGTAGTTTTGTTGGATCATCATGTATTTTTATACAATGAAAAATGGTAAATTAGATATCTATGTTCATTAAAATACATCAGTCATGGCTTAGCTACAAGAATAGAAGTTATATTACAGCACCCTACTGCTAACTTTACTCCTAACTCCTAAACGGCTATACCTATATCATGAAGTCTGCTCTCATGTGTGCTCTAATCTTTACTCTTCAGCAGCACACCATCTCAAATCAAAACTCGTCTACGAGCTCATGGAATGAATAATTTCTCATGTACGATATAAGAATAGGCAAAAAGGAAAAATAACACAGTCGAAACCTCGAGACGAAGGCCAAAACTGAATCAAGGTATCCGTGGTGGATTCGTTAGTCCTTGCGGAGACCCGTTTGCTACTCTGTGTGGTTTCTTCTTGTTGTAAGTTGTAATGCTACAATGTGGACAAACATACTCTAGCCCATCTGTTTTGGCATAATCCTGAAAGTAAAGAAACAAAGTAGTAATCAAATTGCACTTTCAAGTTTCACAAACTCGAGGATTCTCCTAGAATGTATCTCATGATGGTCGGAAATTGTACCTTAAATGCGCCGAGACCCTGCCTTCGATCGCACCCGAAATGAGCCCATTCACCACAAATACCACAGTTCACCCAATCCCCTGCTGCACTACTGTTGTACCGTTGCAAATACCATGGTGAGGAAGTGATCTTACAATGATTATCAAAACCATGAGAGTGTGAGCAGAATCAGTAGAACAAATTGACAAACCTGTGGCACAAAAGGCAGCATTCTCCATCTACATCGTCATGAGCCAATTCATATTCGAGAAGGTACGTCTCGTAATGTCGTTTCAGTGTATTTCCGACACCCTGTGAGAATACACAGGATCAACTTCTTCCAACATATGAGATTAGTAAAATCGAAACAGTTTTCATCTACCAACAGATTTCTGTAGCTTAGGCTGAGAAGAAAATAGCATAAGGGTCACAAATCTATGAGAAAAAGCTTGCTGAACATACAGTCATTCTGTTGGACATTGTGTAGTTATGCATCTTAGAGAAGATCTGCCCTTTCCAGTTGATACCATTACCGACATGAAAGCCTCCTCGAGTGACCACCTATGAAGCAGAGCAGCACGTTCAATATGAGTTTTTTCAGGTAAGATACCAAAAGAGGAATCAATGATTCAAGACCGTACCTCCTTATACAAGTTAAAGAGGTCAAGACGCTTTCCGTTGAGTATTGCGTCTGGGAACTCCTCAAGTCCACCTTGCGGTATAAGTCGTGAATGTCCTCTAAGTAGTAGAAACTCCATAACATCCTTCAAGAATTCCTCCTGAAATAGGAGCGGAAAAGAAACGTTAATAACAGCATAACGAAATCCATATCAATTCAGACAAAAAACTTCTGAAATAATTGTACATGAACATATAACATAAAGTTGAGATCTCTTCCTCCTAAGAAAAGCATTTCAGAGAAATATTTCAGTTCCAAAATATACTACCAATAACCCGATTTCCACCGACCTTTTAAGTTTAAACATTAATGAACATGGTATCTTACCTCTGAGCAATCTTGAATTGGGTTTCTTCCACAACCATGCTTCTTTAGAGGCAGCGGGTTCAAGGAAATAATCTGCTTAGACTGAGATGAGCTCGAAAAGGATTTTCTTTGTGTTGCAGAAGTTGATCCTACAGTTACATGCTTTGATGGGGTAACAACAGGAAAACAAGCCTTGGGTTGTCCTCCATTGTTCCCATCTGCTTCGGTCAATCCAGAGAACGGCATCATTTTATTTCTATGCACGCGTGGAATAGGCCTCATGGAGGCTACTTTTAATCTTTTCCTTGTTGAGAGTAAAGGTGACTTGAACCCATTCATTGATGCAGGCTCCTCTCTACCTACTCTTCTAATGGAAGGGATGTTTGCATATGCAAGACGATCGTGTGACAAAAGGGTGCTCCGTATTCCTTGGCTTGGTTCTACTCTCTTTCTACTAGGAGGCGGTGGCTTAAACCAGCTGGGTAATACGCTTACAAGCAACTGATCTGAAAGTTTATCATTCACATCTTTTGAACAAAAGAAGAGCAATCGCTCAGCATCCTCTTTCTCGAAAGAAGCAACAGGCAAACCCTGAACTCCCCCAATGCCGAGTGCAACTAAACTCCGATATGACATATCAGGTGCTAGCTGCCTCAAGACCTGAAACAGCATCCATGGAAAACAAATTGATATTGATACATTAAAGATGGAGCAGCTCCGGAATATTCAACCAAGTTCAAATATTTTGATAAATTGAACCTCAACCAGAGAGCCAAGTTCATTCCTTTAAATAAAGAATAAATCAATGTACAGTTTCCTCTAGAGTACTTAATTTAACTGGGGAAGGGGGAAAGCAAGCATGTCGGCAGACCTGTGATGCCCAAGCGGGAACCTTCATGGAAACCTCAAATACTGTTGCCCCACAGGCAACTGAAGCAGATTTTCGAGGCTCGTGCATGTGATGTTTGTTGTCCTCACAATCATACATGGCATGAACTAACTGACTATTTTCAATAATCTCATGTTTGATATGTTTCTCTAAGAGCTGAAAAAATTAGTAGCGACCAGGTATTAGACTCCTCTGATTTGAAAAACTTAACAAAAAGAAACAGGTCAAATAGTGCAAATTAGAAACAAACCTGATCATCAAAACAAGTATGAGGACTACCAGACACCAATATTGAGATGTGGGCTGAGCTACAAGTCACCATATCACACCGCATCGTCACAACTCCACGAGCAAAGGATCCTGCCTGAAGAGGTGGCGGAGGAGCACTGAACCATATTTTTAAAGGCATTAATACCATAAACAATTGACATTCACTCAACCGAAGATTTAATTCCTATATGACACATGAGAGTTGACAAATAGAATTGGTGTACCAAATGTGCTAAGTGGTCGAAGTGTTCAAACCGAAAATATTACAAGTGTATTTCATTATAAGTTCTTTCCAAGGAGAAGCTTACCTGAACTTTCCCTGAAGTTTACACCCACGTATCTGTATCGCCCATAAAAATGACAAAACTCAAAAGTTACAACAGTTCATAGAGATCGTTTCCGTTACTAAATTCAGAAAATATTAATGAACAATATCAAATAATGTCATTGACCAAT